AAATAAGCTAGGAACTAGGCTTCTGTTTCTGTTTTTAAAGTTTTTTTTTTTTTAATGTGTCAAGTATATTGCTTGCATGGATGTAAGTACATCTGTGTTGTGCAATGCCTGTGGAGATCGGAAGGTATCAGATCCCTGGAACTGGAGTTACAGATGGTTATTAGCCATCATGTGGGTGCTGGGAACCAAACCCTGGTCCTCTGCAAGAACAACCAGTGCTCTTAACTGCTGAGCCATCTCTCCAGCCCCGTTTTGTTTTTTAAACTATTTTGTATAAGGATGGTATTATTGTGTTCAGTTCAGCAACATGTGCTAAAATTTGAACAAAATAGAGAAGATTGGCATAGTCTCTGTGCAAGAATGATGGCAAATTATGGAGCGTTCCAAATTTTAAAAAATAATTAGAATAGCCAGGTGTGGTGGCACATGCCTTTAATCCCAGCATTCAGGAGGCAGGGGCAGGCGGATCTCTTTGAGTTCAAGGCCAGCCTGGTCTACATAGCGAGTTCCAGGCCAGCTGGGGCTACAGGGAGACCCTGACTCAAAAAGACAAAAAAAAAAAGAATATAAAAGCCAGAGCTGTGCACAGTGGCATGAATCTGGAATCCCCGTACTGGAGAGGTGGAGGCAGGAAGATCAGGAGTTCAAGGTCATCCTTGACTACATAGCAAGTTCAAGGCACTCAGGAGGCAGAGGCAGGCAGATCTCTGTAAGATCTAGGCCAGCCTGATCTACATAGTGAGTTCCAGGCCAGCTGGGCCTACAGGGAAGCCTTGTTTCACAAAAACAAAAACCAAAGAGAGAAAGAGAGAGACAGAGAGAGAGTGAAGAGAGGAAAGGAGAAAGAAACTTTGAGATCATCCTCAGCATACAATGTTGATGTTAAAGGCCAGCCTGGGCTACATGAGAACTTACCTCGAAAAAAAAAAAAAAAAGACAAAACTTAATGTGTATTTTCTCCTGCCCCCCATTTCAAACAAAAGAAAGGAAAAGAGTCCAAGTGTGGTGGTGCACGCCAGGAAACCAACCCAGCCACTCCTGAGAGCTAGCCCGAAGGATGGCAAGTGAGGGGCCAGCCCGGCCTGTCTCAAAATAAAACAACAATGAGCTGCACAAGGGTTCATTGGGTAAAAGCACTTTCAGCCAAGCCTGATGACTTAAGTTCAATTCCAAGGACTCATTCAGTGGGAGAGAACTGATTCAGAAAGCAGTTGTCCTCTGACTTGCACACACGTGCCATGGTACATATGTGACCCCCCCATAAGTAAATAATATAGTTTAAAAACATTTCTTCTTAGTGAGTTCTAGGCCAGCTGGGGCTACAGGGAGACCTGTCTCAAAAAGACCCACCAAAAAAATTCTAGAACAACAGAAAACAAAACAATGCCCCCCCCCCCCGAAAAAAAAAAAACCAGAAAAGTAAAGGGCTGGAAAAGAGCTCTTTGCCTAGCATGCACAAGGCCCTGGGTTCCATGCCCAGCACTGAGAAAAAGAGAAAAGACATACCAGTATCCTTCGTTAACTGAGGCGCAAATCTTAAAATATAATCACACTAAATGAGGGACATTATATAAAAGGATGGGTAGTTAATGAGCAAGGCCGTCTTTCAGGAACGCAGGGTGCTGGGCATTTGGAAATCAGCCAGTGATAGCTCATGCCCTTAATCCCAGCACTAAGGAAGGCAGAGGCAGGCGGATCTCTGAGTTCAAAGCCAGCCTGGTCTACACAGTGAGACCCAGCCTCCAATCAGCCCATGAAATTCAGCGCACATCCCACTGACAGCGCTTGGTGGCAACTTGTCTCGTGCAAGCCGCACAACCGCCTGACTCTGGCCGGTTAAGCGTCCTGGATTTGGTGCCTGGTGCTCACTGCCGGGTCCCATGTTGCAGAAACCGCGGGACAGAGACTGCCAGAGTGCGCAACCCCTGAGCTGCAGGGATTGTGGCGTCCCAAGGGATGTCTGGACCGAGCCCCGAGCCCAGGGCTGCGCTGCGCTCGGCTTCTGCCCGGCCCCAACCACTCCCACTCGGGAGCTCTGGACCCAGAAGCAGCTGGAGCTGAAGGTGGCCGAGCTGGTGCAGTTCTTGCTGGTCAAGGACCAGAAGAAGATCCCCATCAAGAAGACCAGCATCCTGAAGCACGTCATCCGGGACTACAGGGACATCTTCCCTGACTTCCTCCAGCTGGCTGCGGAGAGACTGCGGTACGTGTTCGGGTACAAGTTAGTGGAGCTCGAACCCAGGAGCAATGCCTACATCCTGATCAATACCCTGGAACCCGTGGAGGAGGATGCGGAGGTGAGAGGCAGCCAGGGCACGCCCACCACCGGCCTCCTGATGATTATATTAGGGCTCATCTTCATGAATGGCAACAGCATCTCAGAAACGGAGGTCTGGGGCTTTTTGCGGCGGTTGGGGGTATACCCTACCAAGAAGCATTCAATTTTCGGAGACCCCAAGAAGCTCATTACTGAAGACTTTGTGCGGCAGCGTTACCTGGAGTACCTGCGCATACCCCACACTGATCCTGTGGTCTATGAGTTCCAGTGGGGCCCACGAACCAACCTAGAAACCAACAAGATGAGTGTTCTTAAGTTTGTGGCCAAAGTCCATAATCAAAACCCCACGGACTGGCAAATGCAGTACTGTGAAGCGTTGTTGGATGAGTAGGGTCAGACCGGAGTCCAGTGGTCAGCACCATCACCTTGAAATCACATGGATTCAGAGAAGACACCTGAGATAAATGTCTGGGATTCACAAGCACAGGCTGAAAGGAGGGAACTGAGGGTGGAGGGAGCATAGTTCTACAATAATAAAATGTCTGAACTGCAGGCTGCCTTGAATTTTTTTTAATTATTATATTATTATTATATTTTGGTCTTTTTTTTTTGAGACAGGGTCTCCCTGTAGCCCCAGCTGTCCTGGAACTCACTATGTAGACCAGGCTGGCCTTGAACTCACAGAGATCCGCCTGCCTCTGCCTCCCCAGTGCTGGGATTAAAAGCATGTGCCACCAGGTCCAGCCTTTAAATATTATTTTATGTGAATGAATGTATCGCCTACATGTATGTAAGTGCACTTGAGTCATGCAATACTCAGAAGTCAGAAGAGAGCATTGAAGTCCCCTGGAACTGGAGTTACTGATGGTTGTTAACTGCCATGTGGGTACTAGGAACCGAACCAGATCTTCTGCAAGAGCAGCCAGTGCTCTTAACCACTGAACCATCTCTCCAGCTCCCTCTCAGCCCCTTTTAAAGATTTTTTTATTTTATATGTATGAGTGTTTTGCCTGCATGTATGTTTATGTACTTGTGTGCCTAGTGCCCAACGAGGCCAAAAAGGGGGCATTGGATCTCCTGGATCTGGAGTTTCAGATAATTATAAGCCACCATTGGGTTCTGGGAACCAAATCTAGGTCCTTTGCAAGAGCTGCAAGTGCTCTTAAGCTCTGAGACATCTCTTCAGCTCCCAGGTTTGGGTTTTTTGTTGTTTTTGACACGGGGTCTTAGGTAAGCCAGGCTAGACTCAAGCTCCTGATCCCCTACCTCTTGAGTTCTGGGATTACAGTCTTGTACTGCCATGCCTGGCTCTTTATACAGTTTTTTTGTTTGTTTGTTTTTATTTTTTATTTTTTTTTTTTGGCTTTTTGAGACAGGGTCTCCTTGTAGCCCCAGCTGTCCTGGAACTCACTGTGTAGACCAGGCTGGCCTTGAACTCACAAAGATCCACCTGCCTCTGCCTCCCAAGTGCTGGGATTAAATGTATGCGCCACCATGTCTGGCCTTTATACGGCTTTTAAAAGTAGCATGGTGGTACAGGTTTGTAATCCCAGCATTCAAGAGGTGGAGGCAGGAGGATCACCTTGAGTTGGAGGCTAGCCTGAGCTACATAGCGAGTTTCAGGTCAAATTGGGATACATAGCAAGGTCCTGTCTCACAAAACTAACTAAATAAATAATAAAATATTTTAAAGATTTATGTATAGTCTTATTTTTTAATATTTTAAATTTGGGGCTTTTAAAAATTTATGTCTACGAGTGTTTTGTCTACATGTATGTAAGTGCACCCATGTTATGCAGTTCCCTCAGAGGCCAGAAGGTGGTGCTGGATCCCCTGGAACTGGTGTCACAGACAGTTATTAGCCACCATGTGGCTGCTGGGAACCAAACCCAGGTCCTCCGCAAGATCTTAACCATTCTTAACCACTGAGCTCTTAACCACCGAGCCATCTCTCCAAATCCCAAGATTTATTTATTTATTTATTTATTTATTTATTTATTATTTATATCTTTTAGAGACAGGGTCTCCCGTAGCCCCAGCTGACCTGGAGCTCACTATGTAGATCAGGCTGACCTTGAACTCACAGAGATCTGCCTGCCTCTACCTCCAAAGTGCTGGGCCTACAGGCATGTGCCACCACACCCAGCTGATTTATTTATTTTTATATTGTGTGCCAGTGTTTTACATGCATGTATGTATGTGTACTGTGTGTGTACTTGGTGCCAGAAGAGGATGTGGGATCCTCTGAACTGGAGTTAATAGACCAACATGATCTGCCATGTGGTTTCTGGGAAATGAACCTGAGTGCTCTGTAAGAGTAGCAAGTGCTCTTAACCTTTGACCCATCTCTCCAGTCCCATTTTTTAATTTTTTTTTTATTTTTTATTTTATGTATGAGTGTTTTGCCTGCATGTAAGTGCACCCATGCATGCAATTCCCATGGAGGCCAGAAGAGGGCATCAGATCCCCTGGAAGTGGAACTATGGCTGATTGTTGACTTGCCATGTGGGTGGCAGGAACCTGAATCCTTTGCAAGATCAGCCAGTGCTTTTATCCTCCGAGCCCCCTCTCCCATGTTTTTATTTTTATTTATTTATTTATTTTGTGTGTGCGTGTGTGTGTGTGTGTGTGTGTGTGTGTGTGTGTGTGCATGTGAGTGCAGGTGCTTATGGAGTTTAGAAGAGGGTGTTACATCCCCTGGAGCTAAGTTATAGGCAGTTGTTAGCTGTCTGATGTGGGTATTGTAACTGGAACAGTATTTGCTCCTAACCACTGAGTCATGTCTCCAGCCCCTAAGTAAAATGTTAAAAGCAGAATAACAGGAAAATCCACATAATTATCCTGAGAAGGGGAGAAGATTTTGATAAAAATCAAAGTAGGTGTGTCCGAGAACTTGGTTAATATGATAAAGGCATATAAAAATTGCTTCAAATGGCTGGTCATGGGGGCACATATGCCTTTAATCCCAGCACTCGGGAGGCAGAGGCAGGTGGATGAATCTCTGTGAGTTCAAGGCCAGCCTGGTCTACATAGTGAGTTCCAGGACAGCTAGGGCTATAGAGAGACCCTGTCCCAAAAAGACCAAAGAAAAAATTTTTTAGTTGTGTGTGTGGGGTGTGTGTGTGATGTGCATGGGGGCCCATGAGTGCCACAGAATGCATGTGGAGGTCAGAAGACAACTTTGTAATGTCAGTTCTCTCTACCTTTAAGTGGGTTCCAGGGATTGAACTTGGGTTGTTAGGCTTTCACCTGCTAAAGAAAAACACATCACCTGCTGAACCATCCACCAGCCCCCAGGAAGTTTGGGTTTGAAATCTTTTTTGTTTTGTTTTGTTTGTTTGAGATAAGTTCTCACGTATAGTCCTGGCTGGCCTGGAACTTGCTGTAAAAACCAGATTGGCCTCAAATGCACAGAGATCCACCTGCCTCTGCCTCCCTAGGGCTGGGATTATAAGCGTGTGCTACTATGCCCACCCCCCCCCTTTTAATTACATTTTAATTTATTTCTTTTATATTTTCTTTATTTTTATTTTATGTGTATGAGTGTATTGTCTGCATGTATGTGAGTGCATCCATGTCGTGCAATGCCGCGGAGGTCAGAAGCAGGCTTCGGATTCCCCTGGAACTGGAGTTAAGGACAGTTCGTAGCCACCATGTGGGTGCTGGGAATCGAACCTGGATCCTCTGCAAAATCAGTCAGTGCTCTTAACCCCTGAGCCATCTCTCCAGCCCCATTTTAACTTATTTTATTTTAGGGGAGGGCAGGCCACAGTACATGTCTGGAAATCTGAGGAAGACTTGAGTCAGTTCTCTTTCTACCGTGTGGGTTTGTAGGAATTAAAATCAAGTCATCTGGTTTGGCAGCAGATACCTTTACCAGCTGAGAGTCTTGTCGGCCCTCCAGTCCCCTTGATTTTTATGAGCCAGTGTCTCCTGTGACCCCAGCTGGCTTTGAACTCACTACATAGCCTTGAACTTTTCCCCACATCCCCTCTCAAAGTAGTTATGGATTTGAACTCTTGATCTTCCTGCCTCCTCCCAGGTGGTAAGTACCACCACACCCATCTTGAAAGTCATTTTCTGAGACGGGAAACAATCAAGGGTTTCCTTTATCACCATTTTAATCACTTAAGCCTTGTACTGGAGGACTAGTAAGTCAAGAAAAAGAAATAAAGGTATAAAGCCTGGAAAGGGAAACGTAAAACTTATTTTAGATTATAGGGCTATATAAGGCTTTTTATTTATTTTTTTATTTTATGTATATGAGTGTTTTGCCTGCACCGGTGTCATGCAATGCCGCAGAGGCAGAAGAGGGCGTCGAATTCCCCTGGAACTGTAGTTAAGGATAGTTGGTTCCTAACCACCATGTGAATGCCCGGAATTGAACCTGGGTCCTCTGCAAGGGCAGTCAGTGCTCTTAACCACTGAGCCATTTCTCCAGCCCCTTAGCACAGTATTGTAATTTGTAAAAATAAATAGGACTGGAGGTGTAGTTCAGTGATAGAACACTTGCATGCATAGGACCTGGGTTCAATGTCTGGTACCACAAGAAATAATAAAAATAGGAAGCCAGGTGTGATGGCTTATTGCCTGTAATCCTAACACTCAGGAGGCTGAGGCAGGAGGATTGCCAGGGGTTAGGGATCAACCTGGGTTACATAGTGAGTTCCAAGCCAGCCTGAGCTACAATGTGAGACCCTGTCTCAAAGAAAAAGAAATATGAGCCTGACGTGGTGAGTGCACGCCTTTAATCCCAGCACTAGGGAGGCAGAGCAGGCAGGTCAGCCATTAATAATTATAAAGTAAGGCTGTAAAATGTACTAGTTAGGCCTGGCCGGAGGGGGGGGTAGCTCATGTGGTAAAGTGCTTGTGTTTCGAACATGAGGAACTGAGTTCAATCCCCAGAACCCATATTTTAAAAGGAAAAAAAAGGGATCAGATACAGCAGCACACAGTCATAATCCTAGCACAAGGAGACAGACAGGCAAATCCCTGGGACTTTCTGCCCAGCCAGCGTAGACCACTAGATGAGTTCCAGGCCACTGAGAGACCCTGTCTCAGAATAAACAAGAAAACAAACGTGGGGGCAGGTGAGATAACTCACTGGGTAAAGGTGCTTGCCACCAAGCCAATCCACCCAAATTCAGTCCCTGGTACCCACATGATGGAAAGAGAGAACTGACTCCTGCAAGTTGTCCTCTGACCTCCACACATATACCTTGGCAGGAATGTAACCCCAATAGATAAATGAAAACAAATTATGGTGAATAGTACCTGAGGAACAGACAGTACCAGAGACTAACTTCCACATGCATGCGCGTGCACACACACCTTGATGTATGTGTGTGTGTGTGTGTGTGTGTGTGTGTGTGTGTGTGTGTGTGTGTGATTTAAAGAAGATTTTTTTTTAAAGTCTCTAAGTACCTTTGATTATCATCCCAGCATTTGGGAGGTGGAGGCAGGAGGATCAGGCCAGCCTGGGCTACATTATGAGTTGAAGGTCATGCTGGGCTACATAGACCCTGTCTTTAAAAAAA